CATTAAAATCTTGCAATTTTCTTCTACAATTTCATTTCCATTTGTTGATGCTGGACTTGACAATGTCCATTCCAGTTGATAAAGGAGGAGGGCAACGATAAGAAAAAAAAATGTGGAGTCCCTGAACCTGGCTGATGCCAGGTCCGAGGGCCAGGGTTCTCCCCCAAGAGGATCCTGACTCCTGGACATGCTGGTCCAAAAGCCATTTACCTCTTGGAAGAAGCCTCCTGACCCCCAGCTCAAAAGGATAAAAAAAAGGCTAACCAAGTTCAGGACCGGCTCTCCTTGTCCTAGGTTTGGCACTTCCTGGATGAGGAATTCCAAACCCTTAAAAAAAACGGAACCTGCGCAGCCTAACGCTGACTTCCGAGACACAGCAAATGCTGCTCCTGGGGTCAGTTACCTCCTCCAGGAAGCTCCTTATCCCAGATACAGAAATGTCCGAATCCTTTAGAACGGAGACATAATGTTCCGAGAGTAAGGCATTTCCCAGAACAGACTTCTGACCCCCGTTCTAAAGGGGTGGGGGAAAGGGGGCAAATGCAGTTGATGATTCTTCAAATTACATTGGTAAGTGACTATTGTATAGATGACTCATGAAAAGAGACAATACACAGACATTACACCAATACAGTACAGTATTCTCATAATAAACCATTAAAATCTTGCAATTTTCTTCTACAATTTCATTTCCATTTGTTGATGCTGGACTTGACAATGTCCATTCCAGTTGATAAAGGAGGAGGGCAACGATAAGAAAAAAAAAATGTGGAGTCCCTGAACCTGGCTGATGCCAGGTCCGAGGGCCAGGGTTCTCCCCCAAGAGGATCCTGACTCACGAACATGCTGGTCCAAAAGCCATTTACCTCTTGGAAGAAGCCTCCTGACCCCAGCTCAAAAGGATAAAAAAAAGGCTAACCAAGTTCAGGACCGGCTCTCCTTGTCCTAGGTTTGGCACTTCCTGGATGAGGAATTCCAAACCCTTAAAAAAAAGGGAACCTGCGCAGCCTAACGCTGACTTCCGAGACACAGCAAATGCTGCTCCTGGGGTCAGTTACCTCCTCCAGGAAGCTCCTTATCCTCTAGAACGGAGACATAATGTTCCGAGAGTAAGGCATTTCCCAGAACAGACTTCTGACCCCCGTTCTAAAGGGGTGGGGGAAAGGGGGCAAATGCAGTTGATGATTCTTCAAATTACATTGGTAAGTGACTATTGTATAGATGACTCATGAAAAGAGACAATACACACAGACATTACACCAATACAGTACAGTATTCTCATAATAAACCATTAAAATCTTGCAATTTTCTTCTACAATTTCATTTCCATTTGTTGATGCTGGACTTGACAATGTCCATTCCAGTTGATAAAGGAGGAGGGCAACGATAAGAAAAAAAAATGTGGAGTCCCTGAACCTGGCTGATGCCAGGTCCGAGGGCCAGGGTTCTCCCCCAAGAGGATCCTGACTCCTGGACATGCTGGTCCAAAAGCCATTTACCTCTTGGAAGAAGCCTCCTGACCCCCAGCTCAAAAGGATAAAAAAAAGGCTAACCAAGTTCAGGACCGGCTCTCCTTGTCCTAGGTTTGGCACTTCCTGGATGAGGAATTCCAAACCCTTAAAAAAAACGGAACCTGCGCAGCCTAACGCTGACTTCCGAGACACAGCAAATGCTGCTCCTGGGGTCAGTTACCTCCTCCAGGAAGCTCCTTATCCCAGATACAGAAATGTCCGAATCCTTTAGAACGGAGACATAATGTTCCAGTAGGCATTCCCAGAGACAGACTTCTGACCCCGTTCTAAAGGGGTGGAAGAGCAAATGCAGTTGATGATTACAAATTACATTGGTAAGGAAGTGACTGTGTATAGATGACTGATGAAAAGAGACAATACATACAGACACTTGACACCAATACAGTCAGTATCTCATAATAAGCCATTAAAATCTTACTTTTCTTCTACGAATTTCATTCCATTTGTTTATGCTGGATGACAATGTCCATTCCAGTTGATAAAGGGGAGGAGAACGCGATAAGAAAAAAAAAAAAATGTGGAGTCCTGACCTGGCTGATTACCCCGGGTCCGAGGGCCAGGGTTCTCCCCCAAGAGGATCCCGACTCCTGGACATGCTGGTCCAAAAGCCATTTACCTCTCGGAAGAAGCCTCCTGACCCCAGCTCACAAGGATAAAAAAAAGGCTAACCAAGTTCAGGACCGGCTCTCCTTGTCCTAGGTTTGGCACTTCCTGGATGAGGAATTCCAAACCCTTAAAAAAAAAGGGAACCTGCGCAGCCTAACGCTGACTTCCGAGACACAGCAAATGCTGCTCCTAGGGTCAGTTACCTCCTCCAGGAAGCTCCTTATCCCAGATACAGAAATGTCCGAATCCTCTAGAACGGAGACATAATGTTCCGAGAGTAAGGCATTTCCCAGAACAGACTTCTGACCCCCGTTCTAAAGGGGTGGGGGAAAGGGGGCAAATGCAGTTGATGATTCTTCAAATTACATTGGTAAGTGACTATTGTATAGATGACTGATGAAAAGAGACAATACATACAGACATTACACCAATACAGTATAGTATTCTCATAATAAACCATTAAAATCTTGCACTTTTCTTCTACAATTTCATTTCCATTTGTTTATGCTGGACTTGACAATGTCCATTCCAGTTGATAAAGGAGGAGGGCAATGATAAGAAAAAAAAATGTGGAGTCCCTGAACCTGGCTGATGCCAGGTCCGAGGGCCAGGGTTCTCCCCCAAGAGGATCCTGACTCCTGGACATGCTGGTCCAAAAGCCATTTACCTCTTGGAAGAAGCCTCCTGACCCCAGCTCAAAAGGATAAAAAAAAGGCTAACCAAGTTCAGGACCGGCTCTCCTTGTCTTAGGTTTGGCACTTCCTGGATGAGGAATTCCAAACCCTTAAAAAAAACGGAACCTGAGCAGCCTAACGCTGACTTCCGAGACACAGCAAATGCTGCTCCTGGGGTCAGTTACCTCCTCCAGGAAGCTCCTTATCCTCTAGAACGGAGATATAATATTCCGAGAGTAAGGCATTTCCCAGAACAGACTTCTGACCCCCGTTCTAAAGGGGTAGGGGAAAGGGGGCAAATGCAGTTGATGATTCTTCAAATTACATTGGTAAGTGACTATTGTATAGATGACTCATGAAAAGAGACAATACATACAGACATTACATCAATACAGTCCAGTATTCTCATAATAAACCATTAAAATCTTCCATTTTTCTTCTACAATTTCATTTCCATTTGTTTATGCTGGACTTGACAATGTCCATTCCAGTTGATGAAGGAGGAGGGCAACAATAAGAAAAAAAAATGGAGAGTCCCTGAACCTGGCTGATGCCAGGTCCGAGGGCCAGGGTTCTCCCCCAAGAGGATCTTGACTCCTGGAACCACTGGACAAACAAGCATGCTGGTCCAAAAACATCCTTCCCAGAATAGACTTCTGACCCCGTCCTAAAGGTCGGGGAAAGATGGTCAGATTCAGTTGATTCCAGTTGATAGGTGACTCTCTTTATGGTTGGGTTCTGATGAAGTGAAACCTGAACCTAGGATGTGGAAGAAAAAATAAAAATAATCCAGTGCAGATTAAGTGGCACAAATCCTTCCTTCGCTTGTATAAAACTTCAGTCTATCCAAAGGTGTTTCCTCACTCTTCTTCTGCTACAGTACAGTAAAGTCTTATGTTCTAGTCAAGTTTCTCCCATGTATACATTACTTGAGTATAGTTTTAATTCATATCACCAGCCTTCCTTCCCTCCCTCACTGTAATACTCTTCAATTATATCTCCAGCAGACTTCCCTCTCAATTAACTTTAGTCCAGTCTTCCCTCGCTCTGACCATAACATAGCATACAGCTCACAGGTGGGGAAAGTTGATAATCTCCCAGTAATTTACACAGATGCATATATATAGTGAAAGGTTCTGCTCTTCCTGTAGCTACATAAAAAAAGGATCTTGGGGTAGGTAGGCAAGCCCAGGATAAAGGAGCTTACTGGTAAGGTTAACCTACCATAAGCATGTACTGTACCAGGTACTATCATTCACTGTAAATGACCCATGGAAATGCATAAATTGTAACCCCTCAAAAATATTATGCATGTATAGTTTGACCCCAACTTTTTACATAAAAATTTGATCATTAAAACTTGAACTATACTTTAAGAAACAGTAAACAGTAATTTCATTAAGTTACTTTGTGATTTTCTCTCTTACATAATTATTGAAGTAATATCCTCACTTTATTAAAGTTATTAACACCACAGTGTTAACTCTCACTACTGTGTCATGGGAAAATAGGCGGACGCTCTGGAACGTCACCTGGGACTTAAGGGTTAAGACATTTTGGGTTGGTATTTTCATTATAGAAAGGTTACAGCACAAAAGAGAGTTGTACAGACAATGACCTACTTGAAAAAAAACAGATCACACAAACAAAAAATTTGCTAAATTGAAAATGTTAAAATTCGAAGATATTAACACCTACTGCTGTGCCCTCTTTGTTTACAAATCTATCAATCACTTGCTTGACAATAATTATTTCCAGTTCTGGAATAATCAGAGATACAACTTAAGGCACCCAGAGCTACTACGACTACCCCCATGCGCTCCTCTCAGTCCCAGACCTCCATAAAATATCACGGTGTGAAAGAACCTACCCCTTCCCATCTGAGCAAAGACTACACTCCATTCCTTAAAATCATCTCTTAAAAAATATATACAGTATTGTCTAAGTATTAATATTTCTTGTAATACCTACTACAGCTCCTCCCCGACTTACGACCACCTGCCTCAGTCGTTCCAAAATGTTGTCAAATTACGTTTTTTCGTAGTCCCAACGTCAGTACAGACAAAATTTTCGTTTGTAATTCACTTTAAAATGGCTGGCAAGCTTAAAGTTGAGTATTTTGTGGTGTTGAGAAGAAAAAGAGACACCCATTTTAGATTTTCTATGTATTATTTAAGCATTTTAGACTTACAACCTGCATTTGGGTCAGTAATGACCCTACTAATCTTTAAATGGCACACAACGGTTGGTGGTCAGGTCAGATGGTCAAGTGAATTTGAGTAACGGCATGTACAAGCTGGACAATTTTGTAATTAAGAAGATTTGTGATCAGGTGAGAAGGCCGGGTCACTTGACCATCTGACCTGACCACCAACCGTTGTGTGCTATTTAAAGATTAGTAGGGTCATTACCTAATACCTGACCATTGTGGACCTGGTCTCACCCTCCTCTGTATATATACACCTTGATTTGTATTACTCTCTCTAGTCTGTACTCACCCCTGAAGATGTGAATTACACGAAAGCACTTGGGAACTTCGTGTTTTCTTCTTTCCTTGTGGTTATCAGCATATATATATATATATATATATATATATATATATATATATATATATATATATATATATATATATATATATATATATATATATATATATATATACAGTATATATAATATATATATATATATATATATATATATATATATATATATATATATATATATATATATATATATATACAGTAAAAGTCCAAAAATCCGGATGCCAGAAATCCGGACCACCCGAGAATCCGGACTTTTCAAAAACGATTTTTTTTTTTTAGCGGGCATTTGTGTGCATGTGCGCATGCGTGAGCGCCACAGCTGCACAGCGACAACAAGCGACCACGTGGTCGCCACTTTAAAATGGGCAATCAAACTGTGACAACATACCGTACATACTCGTCTATAACCCCCCCTCGTTATCAGTCGACCCTGATTTTTTGACCATGAAATCGTTAATTTATGATATTCCTGGTTTATAGTTCCACCCACGTTTTGAGGGTAATGGAACAACAAAACCACTAAAAACGCTCTACGTCCTATAAACTGAGGCTCGCCGTGCATGAAACACAAGTGCTGAAGGCAAATTGTTTACCATTTATTATTACGACACTTTACACTGAAACCCGGGTAATTTCACCAAAAATATTGTATATTTCCATTCAAGTATTTATTCAAGTCAATTAGGAGGGAATATTATTGAAATACAACAGTTTTTAAACTAAACCATTCGAAAAGCGATTACGGTAACATCTTTTGAACGAAAGAAAGCGAAAGTCATTGTTTTCATCATGATTTTATCCCACTTTCCACTGTAATACGTATGTAATTTCAGGAAAAATATTACATTTCCGTGAATGTATTATATCAAGCACAGTATGAATAGAATATCATTGTAATATATCAGAATTTTAACCAAAAACTATTAAAAAAACGAGTAACGTCTCAAGAACATCGGAAGCTTAGGTAAAGTCTTTTGTTTTCGTCATGTATTTTATCCTATTTTACATTGAAATACGTCACGTTTCCACAAAACTACTATTTATCTCCGAGAATATATTCATTGAGGCGCAGTTTAGGTAAAATAGACGAGTGATGTAATAGTTTTTTAACTGAAAACGATTCGAAAAACACGTACCCTCTAGCCCTGTTCAAAGAGAGGACTGGGAGAAGCTGTTTGGTGCTGCAGACGATGACAAGGAAAATGATTTTGATGGATTTTAATGAAAATATTCAGAAATATGGTATCGTAGTATTTATTCAAGTCAATTAGGATAGAATATTATTGTAATACAACAGTTTTTGAACTGAAAACCATTCGAAAAGCGATTACGGTAACATATTTTGAACGAAAGAAAGCGAGTCATTGTTTTCATCACGATTTTATCCCACTTTCCACTGTAATACGTATGTTCAGCAAAAATATTACATTTCCGTGAATGCATTATATCAAGCACAGTATGAATAGAATACCATTGTAATATAACAATATTTTGAGTCCTACTCTTTCCATTTACAGAGTACTGTACAAGCCCATAATAATGGCTCCTAAAGTAGATAAACTTCGTTGTGTGAAGAGAAAGAAGAACACATTGAAATTGAGTGACAAACTTCAAATAATTAAGAAACTAGAACGTGGTGTGAGCAATACTGTTCTAATGGAAACATACGACATTGGAAAGTCTACAATTTATGATATATAAAAGGCAAAGAATAAAATTTAGAATTCACAGCTTTTTCATTAAAACTGCTCGTTTTGATAAATGAAGCATGCTATATTTGCAAATGAATAAACTATCAAAATGTACCTGTTCATTTCTTATTTATTCTTCATTAAATTTGAATTTTAAAAGTACTGCCTGAGAATCCGGAAAATCCGAAAATCCGGAACGACCCAATCCCCAAGCAGTCCGGATTTTTGGACTTCTATTTTCCCGTGTGATTCTATCAAGATTTATCTTATCCACGTTTTCATTGTGGATTTACATGAAATATATATATATATATATATATATATATATATATATATATATATATATATATATATATATATATATATATATATATATATATATATATATATATATATATATATATAATAATAAAAAATAAATAAATATTGAAGTGCTAACCATGGTAACATTATGAGATGTTCTTGTTACCACCATGTTATTGTACTATTGCGGATGATACTAAATGTTACATAATATTTCCTTGAGATAAATTTATAGTATACATCAGGTGCAGCTCAGGTTCTCAACTGGCTCAGTCATTTTAATATTGTTATTATTATCCACTCTGTATCTGTTTTTCTGGCTAATAAACTGTTTCAATTCAATTCAATGACCACCTCTAGTGTGTGTCCATTAGGTTAATTTTGAGTCAAATTTAAGCAATAACTAATCTTGACATTTGTTTTTTATACCTGATGTTACACAACTGCTTGTATACTTAAGACTAACACTTTAAAACTAAAACACATTCAAATATTTATACAAAACACACACACACTTTTAAACAAACACAAGTGCATATGAACACACACACTCTTTTATAAACATTTACATAAATGCACACTTTCAGAGGAATACACTATTGTGTATTTTTAATCTAGATTCTTAATCAGCATATAAAAGGGCATCTTTGTATGAAATTTAAACAAAATCTATGCCATGCCCTCATGTACTCAAACACAAGATAAGGGGTCAGGAATTTTGATTGGGAATACTGTTACTGGATGTTTTCTTTTCTGGAAAGTGAATGATAAAATGCTTAAATTATAAAGTTAGCCGATATTCTTGAGAAAAGGCATATAAAGAGGATTTATAATTTACGGACACAGCGTAATTTATGTTTTAAATACTACAGTACTGTACAGTACATAAACACAAGCATTAGACAACATGATGTTAAGTTGTACTGCGCACATCATTGTCATCCCTAAAAATCCCATCTAATTCATATTACGCTACATAACATTCAAATGCACAACGCTTGTAGAACCCCAGAAAACGGGAAACATTGAGAAAGGACAACTCCCCTACTCAAGGTTCCTAGACCATGTGTGGTATTGTACCCAGGTATAATTATATCATATCAAGTGTATGTATTCATAGCATTAAGGATCACTCAGGGTAGGCCTAAGATGAATGTTAAAGTCCAGTTGAGCCGGACTAGGGTACTGTAAGACTAAGTGTGGAGCAGGGTTTGAAGGTCCTACTATTTACGTCTGTGAGCGTGTAGCGAACCTAACTCCAACAGATATCATATGAAAATACATGAGAACAATGATCGGGAAAAAGGGATAAATGTATCAGAACTATGTGAGGTGTTGACAGTGATCTAGAAACTATACTGGAAAGGAAATATCGTGTATGCGTCGGTATGAATTTAATACACCTCGTAGCCTCACGTGACATATACCCACGACAGGTACAGTGATCAGAGAATCTGAGGTCTGTGTTCAAATAGTGCGCTGTGTGAGAGGAGGATCCCTCATTACAGTTTTTAAGTGAAGTTGATACACCCCCGCCATGATCATTCGGCTTTTGTTTCAAGGCGCGTCATGTACCCGCCTCAGATGCCCGTTGATATTAAAATCCCAGGCATTTAACCAAGCACTAGCAAACCAAGACCTGACCTTAGTGTATAAGTTAGGATTAATATATGTGTTTATAAGAAATGAGTGACAATATACCGTAAAGTGTTCAGGGGAGAACCATAAGAAACAAAAATGTAAATTGAGGATTGGAAACTGTAGGCCTATGTGACGAGAAGCGGCGGGAAGCCGGCCTTAGTCTTTCCCGTTCTGCCGTCAACACAGGTCAGTGTCCTAGCGGGCTATATCCCGCCCTACAATTAAGGTTGATAAATAACAGTGACTACAGTTTAAAGCTTTGCCGGATATATAAGTGTGATAGGGATGTGTTAAGGGATGGGATAACCGCCCGTCAGGCATTATTGCTTAGTCTTTCCCGTTCTGCCGTCAACACAGGTGCCACGTGGTTGGGGTATCTTGCCGCCCGGCCGCCATTGTCTCCTGGAGCGCCACACCAGGTGGGGAATTACTCCCCACTATACCAGTCCACTATGAACCGGTGGATTCCCAGCGCACCACTCCACATGAATAGTTACAACTAAGGAGACCGTGAGAAACTGCGGTCGTCACTTGGAGCGACCTATAATACCAGGCGTAGAAATAGTGCTGGTATGTCTCTAGGTGAAGCCCTCGTCTTTACCCACCGAGGGCGGTGTGCGAACGAGGGGCCCGTTGTGTAGACCTAAAAGTCACAAGGAGTCACATACTTGCAGGTATGGAGTGTAACAGGTGTGTTGCGATGGTGCTACTATGTATGATAACCGACGGTGCTACAAGCCACACCAGTGGAACAGTCTGATGTGTTAAGGGATATTGTAAGAAGGAACGACCGAGATACGGCGTTCACCGATTGTTGTGCAATAAGTGGGTGGATGACCCGCCAGTAATGTAGGAGTCTGGGGCCCAGTTGGGTAACCAAAATTCCGTTGTTCTTCTGAGGAAGGCCAGTTCATGTATGTTTTTTTTACCAGTGTGTTTTATAAGAAATAAATCAATGAAGACATGTTATGGTTTCACCCTTCTTTACCCTTATCGATCTGATCAATGGAAAACCTAACCCAATGCCTAGTCCGCTCTGCCCGCTACCTAACGAGCTACATGCTGTCCAGAGGGGGTCTGGTGGCAGCGACCCTTAGGAATTAAGATTAGAGTTAAGTTATCCCCTTAGATTTAGTGACCCCAGATCTGGCAGTATAAATTGGTGGCTATAGCGGTGGGATGGTTTTTAATCATTGATCAAATCCGAGGGAATTGAAGTTGTGATTTAAAGTTGCAAGTATAGACAAGTATTTTAATGATGGATAATCTGATTTTTTGAGTGATACTTGCAGGTGAATAGCATTGATTTGAGTACAGAAATGTAAGAAGAATTTTTGAAAATTTATACAGTACTGAAGTCACCCCACATTATAAATCCCAGTTCTTATGAACTGAAGTCCGGAAATCCAGTTGCTGCCTATGTTGTCGAAAGAAAAAATCTCAGTTTATGTGTGTCAAAAGTTTGTGGGTTGTTGACTTCGTCAGTCGTACTGAAGTCACCCCAACATTATAAATCCCAGTTCTGAGGAACTGAAGTCCGGAGGTCCAGTTGCTGCCTATGTTGTCGAAAAGAAAAAAGCTCAGTTTATGTGTGTCGGAAGTTTTGTTTGGGTTGTTGACTCGCTCCGGGTGAGGGAGTCACCCCGACTTTCAAATGCCAGTTCTGTTGAACTGTGAGATAGAAAATACGGGTTTTGTGTTATGAGCCCCAAAGTGTATGTCTAGAAACATGGTTTTGGTGTTGAAAAGGTGAATTATTATTGAAAGGAAGTAGTAATCTGAGGAAGTGTCTGATGTAACTAATTCCCCATTCATAGACAAGAATTTAAATTCCTTAGGATATGTAATTTCATGCAGAGAACTTTTGTTGTAGATGTAATGTCAAAGAGTCACTGTTTATGTGCTGGTGCCAAAAGTAGGTTGAGGTATTACGCTGATGAACTGTTAAGGGAATGTTCCCTATACTATATGGTACTGAGATAAGAATTGATAAGTTGTGGTATGTATAGGTAACGGAGACTCGAGTATGAAAGGTTTGTCTCCTTATAATTTTCTCTTTACTGATATATTGTATACCGAACTAGCAGGATTGTAAACGGTTGTCTGATGTATATGGTAGCGGAGACGCTCGTAGGAAACGTTTAAGTCTCCTTATGTTTTGTGTGTTGGATTAAGGTACTCTAATCATGAACTGCTAGGATGTTGTAAAATGTATGTATACTACAGCGTTAGTGCTTTGCATGTTATTTCGCATAGTATGAATCTTTGGGAGGGGAAGGCTATGTACTGCGCACATCATTGTCATCCCTAAAAATCCCATCTAATTCATATTACGCTACATAACATTCAAATGCACAACGCTTGTAGAACCCCAGAAAACGGGAAACATTGAGAAAGGACAACTCCCCTACTCAAGGTTCCTAGACCATGTGTGGTATTGTACCCAGGAATAATTATATCATATCAAGTGTATGTATTCATAGCATTAAGGATCACTCAGGGTAGGCATAAGATGAATGTTAAAGTCCAGTTGAGCCGGACTAGGGTACTGTAAGACTAAGTGTGGAGCAGGGTTTGAAGGTCCTACTATTTACGTCTGTGAGCGTGTAGCGAACCTAACTCCAACAGATATCATATGAAAATACATGAGAACAATGATCGGGAAAAAGGGATAAATGTATCAGAACTATGTGAGGTGTTGACAGTGATCTAGAAACTATACTGGAAAGGAAATATCGTGTATGGGTCGGTATGAATTTAATACACCTCGTAGCCTCACGTGACATATACCCACGACAGGTACAGTGATCAGAGAATCTGAGGTCTGTGTTCAAATAGTGCGCTGTGTGAGAGGAGGATCCCTCATTACAGTTTTTAAGTGAAGTTGATACACCCCCGCCATGATCATTCGGCTTTTGTTTCAAGGCGCGTCATGTACCCGCCTCAGATGCCCGTTGATATTAAAATCCCAGGCATTTAACCAAACACTAGCAAACCAAGACCTGACCTTAGTGTATAAGTTAGGATTAATATATGTGTTTATAAGAAATGAGTGACAATATACCGTAAAGTGTTCAGGGGAGAACCATAAGAAACAAAAATGTAAATTGAGGATTGGAAACTGTAGGCCTATGTGACGAGAAGCGGCGGGAAGCCGGCCTTAGTCTTTCCCGTTCTGCCGTCAACACAGGTCAGTGTCCTAGCGGGCTATATCCCGCCCTACAATTAAGGTTGATAAATAACAGTGACTACAGTTTAAAGCTTTGCCGGATATATAAGTGTGATAGGGATGTGTTAAGGGATGGGATAACCGCCCGTCAGGCATTATTGCTTAGTCTTTCCCGTTCTGCCGTCAACACAGGTGCCACGTGGTTGGGGTATCTTGCCGCCCGGCCGCCATTGTCTCCTGGAGCGCCACACCAGGTGGGGAATTACTCCCCACTATACCAGTCCACTATGAACCGGTGGATTCCCAGCGCACCACTCCACATGAATAGTCACAACTAAGGAGACCGTGAGAAACTGCGGTCGTCACTTGGAGCGACCTATAATACCAGGCGTAGAAATAGTGCTGGTATGTCTCTAGGTCAAGCCCTCGTCCTTACCCACCGAGGGCGGTGTGCGAACGAGGGGCCCGTTGTGTAGACCTAAAAGTCACAAGGAGTCACATACTTGCAGGTATGGAGTGTAACAGGTGTGTTGCGATGGTGCTACTATGTATGATAACCGACGGTGCTACAAGCCACACCAGTGGAACAGTCTGATGTGTTAAGGGATATTGTAAGAAGGAACGACCGAGATACGGCGTTCACCGATTGTTGTGCAATAAGTGGGTGGATGACCCGCCAGTAATGTAGGAGTCTGGGGCCCAGTTGGGTAACCAAAATTCCGTTGTTCTTCTGAGGAAGGCCAGTTCATGTATGTTTTTTTTACCAGTGTGTTTTATAAGAAATAAATCAATGAAGACATGTTATGGTTTCACCCTTCTTTACCCTTATCGATCTGATCAATGGAAAACCTAACCCAATGCCTAGTCCGCTCTGCCCGCTACCTAACGAGCTACATGCTGTCCAGAGGGGGTCTGGTGGCAGCGACCCTTAGGAATTAAGATTAGAGTTAAGTTATCCCCTTAGATTTAGTGACCCCAGATCTGGCAGTATAAAGTAACAGAATACCTGTATAAGTCTCACCTCCCACAGGTCAGAGGTGTTTCATCAGTTGCTGTTGATGGCATCACATATGAGCCTGTCCCACAGGTCAGAGGTGTTTCATCAGTTTGTATAGTCGAGTCTTAGCTTGTCATACCGAGATGTGTTGTTGGTCCTTGAAACTTCCTGGAAATAAGAAAAATAACTATACGTACTGTATAATACACAACACTGCACTATAAAACTATTATATTATAGTTTTATAGTGCAGTGTTGTGTATTATACAGTACGTATAGTTATTTTTCTTATTTCCAGGAAGTTTCAAGGACCAACAACACATACTATACGTACTGTATAATACACAACACTGCACTATAAAACTATTATATTATAACCACAGGTTATTTGACTGGGATTTAAAATACATAAAACAGTACTTTTGGCTACAGAAAATTCTACAAATTATTTTATTTATAATTTCCAAGTATTAGAAACAAATTGATAAAATAGAAATAACATGGTAGAGGTGGAGGAGACAGTTAGCACCAGAATGTGTTTATATACGTAATTCACAGTTATACTTTGGATGATATTGCATTAACTAATAAAACTGATAACTTTTTTATATTATAAATACAGTACTGTATAGTCTGGGTTTACGCGGATATTTTATACACGGCACCTGTCCAGAAGCGATAATTATTATTTACGCGGTAAATGCCATCATATACGCAGCGGGGCAAGGTGCTGATGTCAGACTCATGCCGACGAAGTCGCGGACTGTGATTGGGCCACGTATCCTTACCACCCACGCACCCCTTCCACGGTGCGCTGTGATTGGTCTATTTAACCTTGCCAACCCCTGCCACCCTCACTCTTGACCATAGCCGCACCAGTCTGACTGTTCCCGCGTATACTCACTCGTGCCCGGGAACCGTTTTTTTTTCTTTCTACACAAAGACTTCCGCCGGACCCCCACCACCCCTGAGAAACCCTGAACTACCTGGCCCAAGCCGCCCCAAGCCCAAGAAGGTGCGACTCGCTTTAAGCTATGAGGTTAAGTACAAGATCGTTCAGGAGTTAGAAAAAGGCACGAGGCAGGTGGATCTGGCCAGACAATATGGAGTGAATGAAATCGACGATCCGCACGATCAAGAAGGATGCCGGCAAAATCAATGAACACATGAAGTCTGTCGGTGCCTCTCTGGTGAAATATTGCCACAATATGTTGCTGCTGAAGACCGAGAGTTTGTTGGTAAGCTACATTATTCATCAATCAAGAAGGAACATGGCGGTCGACACTCGGGCCCTGCAGGACTACGCCCGAGAACTCTATGCAGCAGTAGCAAGAAAAATAGGGGTCGCAGAGCCCAAGCCCTTCAGTGCTTCCCCTGGGTGGCTGCAAGGTTTTAAATGACGCAACAAGATAACGAATATTGTGAAAGTCGGAGAAGGAGCAAGTGCCGACCGGGCTGCCGCCATGAATTTTCCCCCATTCTTACGGAAAATTATGGAGGAAGGACAGTGCACGGACGACCAAGTGTTCAATATGGATGAATCAGGGTTGTACTGGAAGAAATTGCCATCCAAGACCTTCGTAGACAAGTCTGCTAGCAAGTGTCGGGGAGGCAAAATGCAGAAGGAGCGCATCACAGTACAGTACTGTTCACCACCAATGCCTCAGGCACTGCTAAGCTGAAGTTGTCTGTGATCCACAAAGCCAGCAAGCCTCATGCATACAAGAATATGGACATGAGCAAGTTAAATGTCCACTGGCTAACCTCAGGGAAGGCGTGGATGTTCTCTGGTCTATCCCTCTCCTGGTTTGACAACTGTCTCATTCCTGATATCAAGAAATTCTGCGTGGAAATTAATGTGCCATTCAACATTTTCTTGCTCCTCAACAACGCACCAGGACACTCGCCCCTTTTGCTGGATCGCCACCCCAACGTAAAAGTGGTCTTTCTTCCCCCTAACACTACGTCGTTAATCCAGCCCATGGATCAGGAGTCGATTTGCAACATGAAGGCTGCTTTCTCCGCCAAGAAGTTTCGGCTCCTGAACGACTTCACCAACACCAAGGATGAACTGCAGAACCTAGCGAGTGGCACCGATAGCGAGAAACATGAACAAGATTTGGCGGACCATGAAGTGCGGGTCAAACAGTTCTGGAAGCTGTTTAATGTGAAGAAGGCTGTTGATTTCTTGGTGGAGGCATGGGGGCAGCTATCTGTGGCAACTATTCAGCACGCGTGGTGGCATGTGTTGGAGGGTATCCCAGGTGGGAGGCAGAGGCAAGCGGTGTCTGGTGAGGCTCAGTCTGTTGCTGTGGCATTGGAGAATGCAAGAGAGGCTGCGCAAAGTGTTAGAGCTGCAGGCTTCTCCAAGACCACCAACAACGACATCCTGGAGGTAATCAAGCAACCCGAGGTGACTGCTGACGAGATGTTGGAAGATGATGATGTCAGTGAGCAGCCAGGTGTTACAGAAGAACAAGAGCAGAAACTAACACATGCTGATGTGAAGGAAATCATCAAGTTTGCAGAGAGAATGAAGCTCCTCCTTGCCAAAGAACCAGTCAATCATCGCTGCGAAGTGTCGAATAACCATCTGTTGAAATACCAGGAGCCCTATGTGAAGCTGTATCAAGACCACATCAATGCTAGACGTCAACAAAACATCACCGAGTTCTTCACCCACCACAGCCAGCCCAAGTCAGTGATAGTGAGGGTATGGACTTCGAGGGGTTTGACGCGGAGGCCCTGCTAGCCTCTGTGGTGGATAGAGATACAGATGAGGGCCAATAATCTGCCCTCTGCCTCGGAACCAACCCCCCATCCCCATGTACCTTGCCATCTTTTCTACTAACGTAAGTGTTAAAAAACCTAATATTATTGATATTTCTCTTAAATATTAATTGTGTGTGCATACCATCATAAAATTAAGATATTTTTACTACAAGGTACAGTATTGTGTTGGTGATAACCAAAAAAGGGTAGTCTGGTGGTCAGCCCAGTCTCTATTTCAATTAATCCCATATGTTCTGTTATTATATTTACGCGTTTTGCTTTATACGCGGACCTCCACGGGTTTAATTAACCTCGTAAAACCAGACAATACTGTATATATTTTTTCTATATCTATGATCATAAATTGCCAATAGTAGGCAGGGCATGGATGATGAGTAAAAGCCCATGCACTGTTACAAGATAACCCCTCAAATCAAGTTACTTCAAATGTTCATAACCAAAGCATCAGCAGGTGTTCAGTTTTCTGGGTTAGGCAGTACAGTACTGCCACTAAGGCAACAATGAAGAACAGATTTCATAGAGAGCCATGGTCAGCTATACAAGAGGAGGAAGGGTATGACTATACATTCCTGTGCAGAAACCAGAGTCTTGTAAAAATTTATGGCTTCTGTGTCAATTATTTTGATAAATCAGTTAGTAACAGAGATCGTTCACAGTCTACAGCACCAAAATCAATTCCAAGAAGTTCTTCTAAAAGTAAAAAAACATGAGTAACAACTTCAACTGTCAGAGCTAAAATGGACATATACCTGACATTATAGTTGCTGGAATCCTTTAGATGAGTTGAAAACCATTAAGAACATATTTGCAACATTCCTTACAAACAAACAGCTTTCTTCTCCACCATCATCAGTGGAAAGTGAAATATTATTCATCAATGGTGGTAATGTATACACTCCACATGCTAACACTGCCAAGACATTCAAGTTTGTAAAATACAATATGATTATTTTCAACTTTGATTACTGAATAGTTATGTCATTCAAGTTCTTGTAATTGTTTGAAATATTTAATTCCAATCTCGGCTTGTGTGTTGAAAGGTTCAAGAAAATGTAGCTGCATATTATATTAAAAGCTACTGGTAGTCCACTACTGTACAGTATATTGTATTGCATTCTTCAATAATTAGCCAACATGGAATATTTTATAAGATTTTCTGGTTCAAATACTTGTACCGAACTCCTAGTCTACAACTGTACTGTATATTGCTTTCAATAATTTGCTAAAATGGATGAAGATTTTAAAATAATTTACTTTTCAAACTTGGTACAGTGTATCCTTATATAAGTTAGTACAGTAATAAGGTTAATTGAGTGTGTTCAGTTAGCTAGGTGTATAAAGCCTTTGTATCAGTTATGTAGGTCCATGTACTGTATGTATATTTTATGTACCGCATATACTCGCGTTTAGTTTGAGTTTTTAAAACCAAATTTTTAGGCAAAAAATTGAGGGTCGACCTCTACATGGGTAATAGTTTTGTTAGGTTGAATCCGTGCATGATGGAAAGGGCGAGGAGCAACTTTTAGCTTCAGACATGAAAAATATATACCATTTACTGCCAGTAAACAATGAAAACATAAAATATGTACCAATTAGTAATGAAAAGCTGTGCAGTTCCTTCAGCAGTTGAAGCGCAGCAACAATAGGCTAAATTACCTTACAGCGTGCTTTCAGTAGTCTATGTTGAAGTTCTTAGCACAGGCTAACTTATCATATCATATACGGTATCACAGTATGTACTCATTGATCTACAAAAAATACCGGTAATAAAGACCTTTTTGATATTTCAACTTAATATAATACCCGTTAATCCACCTCAACCTCATATTGTATGCACGACCAGCTGTTGAATATCAGCTAGACGTTACACGTGTTTTTTTTAATCGTTTTCAGTTAAAAAACTGTTACATCACACGTATATTTTACCTTAACTGTGTCTGAATGAATATATTCTCGGAAATAAATAGTAGTTTTGCTGAAACGTGATGTATTTTAATGTAAAATAGGATAAAATACATGACGAAAACAAAAGACTTTACCTAACCTTCCGATGGTCAAGAGATGTTACTCGTTTTTTAATAGTTTTTGGTTAAAATACTGTTATATTACATTGATATTCTATTCATACTGTGCTTGATATAATGCATTCATGGAAATGTAATATTTTTGCTGAAATGACGTACGTATTACATAGGAAAGTGGGATAAAATCACGAAGAAAACAATCGACTTCCGCTTTCTTTCGTTGTTAAAAAGATGTTACCATAATTGCTTTTCGAATGATTTTCAGTTAAAAAAAACTGTTGTATTACAATAATATTCCCTCCTAATTGACTTGAATACTTGAATGGAAATATACAATATTTTTGCTGAAAC